CAGGAAGGTCAGGGAATCCCAGCTCTGGCCCTGAGGCCACTCGACATGTACCCCTCCTCACTCCCTGTGACCAGGGGTGGGGCTGAGGTGGCCAGGACTCAGGACCCTGGTGGCCCACTGGGAACACCATGGGCAAGGGATCATCCCCTGGTCCTCCCAGGGAAGGAGGGCACTGGTCCATATTTACTAGTAATGTCCTTTGTCCCTGAGAACAGGCTGGATGGCGTTCTGCCAGGAAAGACACTCCAGGTCTCTGTGGGGAATTTCTATTCCAGGTTGCACGGTAAAGCCTGGCCTAGATTTTGAGTCATAGTGCTCACCCTCTCTAGGGTGGGTGGGTGGCCCGTTCCATAAACCTTAATGTGCTCTGGCATAGCCCTCGGCTTCTCATGAGGTACAGATGGCATTGACCCTTGTTCCTGTACAAATATTCTAGTACCCTGGGGCTGTCCCAGTGCCTGAGATCTCACTTGAAGATGGAATGGGCCATCCCTGAGATTGTTTGGTGGGCAGATTGCTTGGTGAGCATCTGGACTGCTGCTGCAGTATGTCCTGCCATGGACACTCCCTGGCCTGAGACAGAAGGAAAGCAGAGCAGCCAATGTTGCCCACTTGGTATCACACATGGAGACTCTAATTAAAGCCTTCTCTGCTTTCTCCCCTCATAGGAGACATTCTCAGCCGTGGTTTTAATGCAGTGGCTTCTGATAGAGAAAATTGATTGTCCTTATCATTTGATAACCTCTCTCTTTTCATGAACGTGCCTCTAGAGCTCTGTGGATGCTGCTTACGTGCTAGACAAATGTCGTCATGTGGCACCACCTCTGCAAGCCTGGGACCCCCCTCGCAGGCTCAGGGCATATCGCGGAAGAGGGGGCGTGTGAGATTGTAAGAGCCAAGACGAGGGGTGGCACATATAGATTTAGCTTCACCTGAATGCCACCATTGCGACTCATCACTACCATGTTGGCCCAAGAACTCAGGGTGGCTTTTCCTGAACACTTTGACTGCCACCAAAAAGAGACTTAAACCGTCAGTGTAGTTTAGGGGCTTTTCAACCAGATCCAGTTCCTGGTTGTACCCCACCTTTAAATATTAGCAAATGTGAACCAGATCCAAGCCGGCAGAGTGAAGTCACTTTTGCCCTAATCTGTACACCTGCCCTTCTTTCTGACCCACTGTGCCGGGACACAGGTGGTGGTTCAGTGCTCTACACCCAGCTTCCATGGGAAGTCTTTGAATAAACTGCTCTCCTCCCTACTCTAGGTCTGTCTGGCTCTTTCTTGTTCTCATGGCTCCTTGGGACCAGCCTCCACACTGGGTAGTTCTGGGGCAGAAACTACACTTAACACAAAAAAAGTACATTCCATTCTAAGTGTACCCATGAGAGTCAGTCCCTAAGGAACAAGCTTTAAGAAATGATGATACTAGGTTTAAAAAAAAAACATGATAAATAGTACAAGGAAAAATGCAAACGGGGAATAAGAGGGAAAGTTTAAAGGGAGAGTATATTAAACTGCAGATTTATATCAGGCTGCACAAGGCCCTTGGTTTGATCAACAGCAGTATAAATCAAGTCCACAAATTTATACAGGGTAAAAATGTGGCACCCATCCAATGGATTAACAAAAATGACAAAGGTGGCAGAGAAAGTAATAGGGAAACATTTTAAAGTAACAAAAACATGGAAAGAAGCAAAGGAAAAGAAAAATTATTAGGGAAAAATTAACAGCAAAATATAACAAAAAAGTCACCAGCAGGCTAGCCGTGTCCCAGACCCCCAGGTGCCCCCATGAACACAGGGGTAAGCCCAAATCTCCAAGGGTTGAACTGCTATGTGCAGAATGTCACTTGTCCCATTGGGTCAAGGAAACGTGGCATCCTCTCTCGTGAGCGCCTACCTCATCCTCAGGTAAACCCTGAGGCCCATCTGATAAGGAAAGTTTCCTCCAATGACACGCCATGTCGTACAGGAGGGGCAGGGCACAGGAACGGTTCCCCTTGGGAAAGCACTGATGAGTCCTCGTGGACCCTGGGGCACCCTCCATACTGGACCACGAAGACTTGAAGTCCAGCCCAGGAGGGGTGGTCTGCTGCATTTCTCATCCCTCCCTAGAATAGAGAAGGAAATGAACCACTCGTGTTAGGGGAGAATCCACAGAGCTTTTCTCACAGGTTTTCAAGGATCTTTGCATAAGAAAAAAAAAAGAGGATGCCTGCCTCGTGTGCTATGGAGTTTGAGATTTACTTGCTAGGATACGTCAATGGCCTTTTCTGTTCTAGTTTGAAAAATCTGTAATGACTTTCTCTTCTAAAGACCTAGATGTCTATACCAAAGGAATTCAGTTCCTGTTTAATTGTGGTAGGTGGCTGTGTGTGAGGCCCTGGATTTTATCCCCCACTCTGAACCAGAAAATAAGAAAAAGTACATTCCGTGATATTCTGCTGTTGTAGAGAATTGTTCCCCAGGACACTGCTTAGCTTAGAGGTGAAATGTCCCTCCAAGGCCCCCTTCATGGCAGGCTTGATCCTAGCTGGTGGGACTCCAGGTAGGTTGGTGGAACCATTAAGAACTCGCTCCTATTGGAGGATGTCAGGTCCCTGGGGCAGGATGTTGAAGTGCTACTGGGTCCCTGCTCCCATCCCTCTCATTCTGTTCTCTCTTCCTCCCTGGGAAGATTAGGCCTCTGTGCTTGTGTGTTTGTGCAATATGTATGCATACAGGACAATATGCATGCCTGTACCCCTGAGAGCATGCATGTGCACATGTGTGCTGGCACAACTGCATGTGTGTGTAAGTGTGAGTGCATGTGACTTTGACCACAGTGTTGGTGCCACTGAGAGTAAACAATGACAGTTGGAGGGCAAGAGCAGCCTGCAGACCTGTGGTTGTCCCCAGACACACAGGAGAACCACAAATGGAATGATTTTCCCAACTGGTAGGAATGGCATGAGATCTTAGTACCCGCCCTCACTCCTGTCAATCACTGCTCTACCCAATAGGTCTTCCAAGCCAGGGTGACACCTTCACATTGTACATGCTCAGGATCTGGAAGCTGCCAGCTGACTGCTTCAGACAGACAGGGAAGTAAGAGTCTGGTTGGTGCCAAGGCTGATTTGAAAGGTGAAGGCCAAGGTGTGGAGAGGTGAGAAGAGGAGGAGATAGGTAAGATGGCTGTTATCCAGAGGGCCCGCCTTGGGGGTCCATGCCTGTGGGTCACTGGAGCTTAGTCAACTGGGCATTCCTGAGCAGAATGTGACACTCAGGTTTTCTCACCTATGTCCCAAGGTCCAGGCATCACTGAAACCACTCTTGGGTCAGTGAGCTTCAGTACTTCACCTGCCACATGGTACCCAAAGGGTGACAGGCAAACAAGGGGCAGAGCTGATCGCTGTACCCTCAGAGTGGAGGGCACATTGGACTCAAATCAAGGGCTTAGAGAGTCAGCGTCCCATGAGCAGTGCAGTGTGTGACTGTCCTCTTGAGACTGCTCAGATAATAGCCTCCAGGTCACTCTAGAGACCAAGGTTCAAGTGACTGTGTTGGTGACTTGCTTTTCCTCTGTGCTGAGCTCCACTCCTAACTCTCTGTGGTGCATACCACAGACCTGCTTGTCCTCCACCTGAGCCATTCATTGCTACCTGGACAACCTGTACATCGTCCTCTTGAAAGCAGAAATTTTACTCTCTCAGACACCTTGTAGCTTATGTCTATAGGTGGCCTCTGCTCCCAGGCTTCCACCTGAACAGATCCAGAAGGTGTATAGGAGAAGACCATTGTCTCTTGGAACAGCCCTAAACATCTATGATGTGGGATTCCATGGGAAATAACTGATGTGGGGTTATGTGATGTTTTGTCTAAAATGTTTCTGGATTTGAGGGGTGGGGGAAGCTGGTCTCCTGTAGTCCTAGAATCTCTGTCCTGAAGGCAGAAATAAATAATATTAGGCCTGAAGCAAAAGAGGAGTTTCTCTAATTTACATGATGCACCTCTAGTTTTCCTCTGGTGAAATACAGAACGTAGAAAAGCAGGCAGGAATCCTTCGTGGCCCCCACCGGGAGGTCATCACTGACACATTTTCAGGTTCCCTCTGGGCTTGGTTTTCTGAGCACTTTTGGGCCAGTGGAAAAGACACAGGTGACATGATCCATACCAGTCTGATTAGTCACTGGGCAGGGATTAAACACTGTCCCTGTCCCTCATCCATGAGGCTGCAGGAGCTCCCTAGGGCCAGGCAGGCTGCCGTCCATCCACTCTGGAGCTCTCTGCCACATTCCAGCAAAGACCACGAGACCCTCAGGGTCTGGGTCCTCTCCCTTCTCCAGCTTCTGAGGGATCCGGTTTGCCCTGGCCCCTGCCCAGCCATGCCCCTCCCACTCCATCCCCCACACAGCCACCCCCTCCAACCCAGCATCCTGGAACCTGCTGTTCAGTCTTCCTGGTAGATATGCCTCCTTCTCATCAGAGTGTCCCTGCAGTTACAGTTAGGACCCAGAATGTCCCCCACAGGCTCCTGTGTTGCAGGCTGGATTCCAAACACCGCCATGCCCAGAGGAGGCACATTGTGGAAATGACTGAACCAAGAGGGCTCTGAGCTGACCCTGCATTACTCCACGGAGGGGTCTTGACTGAATGGACTAGTAGGTCGAGGTGGGACAGTGGGAGGTGCTGGGATGGAAGCAGTGGGCCTTGGCATGCCATCCAAAAGGGCACCTTCCCCAGGCTCCTCCCCTGTGCCTCTCTCCTAGCTGCCCTCATGTGGTTAGCAGCTGTGTCCCTGATCCACCCTGACATGGGGACCTGCGTAACCACACCCTCATGGGATGGGGCTGCCCTCCCTCTCTGAGGATGGCCCTGCCCTCCCTCTCTGAGGATGGCCTTCATGTAGCACATAGGAGATGACAGAGTGGTTGTCACCATGACACTTCCACTTCTTAGTGTGGCCCGTGGGTCCTGAACACATATTCCCCTTATGCTCTCTTTTCTGCTTTGATTTCCTGAGCGCTTCTCCTTGTAATGGGCCATATATCTCCTTTTCTCTAGGGGAGCCTGTTGTGAGTTAAACTGTGCCCTGTTTTCAAAGAAATGTGCCAAAGTTCTTATCACCTGTACTTTACCTATGGGGCCCTAGTTTCATCACGTGCTGATCAGGAGATCAAGTTTTAATATTTTAAATGATTTAATATTTTAAAACACTCAGGACAATGTGTGCCCATGGATCCAAAATCTGCCCACATCTGCTGCTAGTTCCTTACACTTTTTACCCCAATTTTTAAAATGAAAAAACCCAGGCTAAAAAAAGTCCTGAACTCAACCTCGTGATGAGCACATTGCAGAGTACTTTGATTCTCCTGGAAATCACACAGGGCATACCGTGTACCTCCTGAAACAGGGGTGACCTTCTGTGGGCCATGGCCCTGTGGGCCTCACCCCTGCATTCCCTGGGGCTCTCACTCCCAGCTGGGCCTGGAGGATGGCCCTCCTCCCTGACCCTGGCAACAGCTGACCATCCTGCAACCCTGGCACCTGGCCACTGTGATGGGGTTTGCTGCTGCCCAGGTCCAGCCCTGTCCCCCTGTCTGCCATCTGCTGACTGCAGGCCAGCTATGGCCCAGGAAACCCAGTGCACACTAGTGACCAGCAGGGAGCCTGAGGCCCTGTCTCTCCTCAGCCCACTGTATTGATGTCCTAGGAGACATCTCTGCAGTGTCTCTGGGCATCACACAGCTGGGTGTGCACAGCTGGGATCCTGCCGTGACCCTCCACTGACTCCTCCTCCTGAAGCCTCTGTGTGAGGGGGGAGATGCACCATGTCCCCAGGCCCAGGCAAGGATGCCCCACATCCCCTCACCCTCCATGAGCCTCATCCCCGGATTCCACCACTGCCCCTGTCACCTTCTCCTGCTCCTCGGCCTTTGGCTACACAGTCACCAACCCCTTTATCTAAGTCCAGTCAGGAGGGTCCTACTCCTCAGGGACACAGTGGCCACAAAGGCATTTTTATTGGGACAGAAGGAGCAGACTAGAGCAGAGGAGAAAGGGTGTCTCCCTGAGCAGCAGGACTGGCCCTGGGGGCTGTCGTGTGGCTCAAATGGAATGAGGAAAGCACCCTGCTGCAGTCCCTACCCAAGGTTCCCCTAGAGAGCTCTTGGTCAGCTCTGACAGGGGGAAAGGGACAGGTGGGAGGAAGAGGCCTGACCTCACCCTGGAAGCTCCGTAACTGCAGTGACCCTGTCACAAGGTGGACCTGCAGAGGTTTCAGTCTGGAGACTCAGACAAGGTGCAGCAGAGGGGGGCTGTCCTGGGACCCAGGGGCTTGTTCCCCACTCCCCAGCCAGGTCCCCACCTCTGACTGGGTACATCTACCTGCCTGGTCTCCCTCCACTTGATGCCTCCTTCCCTTCCTCTGGTCACACCTAGGCCTGGGTCAGGTGCCCTGATTCCTGGGGCTGCTCCAGGATTTCTGTGACCCCCTTTACACCTCTGAGTGTGGGAGTCTGTATTGTAGGTAGCTCCAGCCTTTGCTCCCAGTTGGAAAGTGAGTTCTTCGATGGAGGGTTCAGTCTGAACCTGCATGGGGGAAATGATGGAGCTCACAGGGTGAACCCCAGTTAAGCCCCAAGAGAAAATAACACATGTGTTGAGAGAACTGAGGGAGATGATGTTGTCAAACTGGAAGGATCGGTGCATGGAAAGGAAGGGCCAGTGGGAGCAATCAATTGGGCAGGACTCCAACTTAGAGAGCCAACAAAGTCACCAGATCCGTCTAGAGAGGACAAGGATGGCTCAGTAAGCACCGGGGTGGGGGGGCACATGTCAACAAGACTTCAAAATCACTTTGATTTTGAAGAGAAGGCATAGAAACCCTGGGGAACCAAGAAACTTCTCACCTTGATGAGGAGAGGTATTCAAGAGACCTGCCATAGGCCAAGCCTGCTTCTTGCTTCTCCTAACCACCATCTCCTGGGGTAAAGCACTCTGTGCACCCTAGTGCTGTCCTTGGCCACAGTGACTGCTGGGCAGAAGCCCTGCATGGTGAAGAGTGTGCACATGAGGTGGCTGACCATATACGAGGCCTGGAGGCTTTCCAGGAGAGAGATGAGGCCCACTATATCCAGGAGGCTCCCTGATGGGATTCTGAAGACACAAAACACAGACTAAATGGGAGCAAAGGTTCCAGGAACATGGAAACTGCCTTGGGAGAAACCTCCTTGCCACAGCACTCCTCCATTCCTCATAGATACTCTACGCTGATAAAAAAAAAATCCTCCTGAGAACACCAAGGACCCCTGGCTGAATGCTGACCACACCTTGGAAAGGCAGGCTGGCTGGAGGGCCCTTAGAGACAAAGGATCTTGGAGGAGTGAATGGGCCTCTGCTAAAGGAGAGGAAATGGTCACAGTGGAAAGGCCAGACTCCTGCATGGTGCAGTCAGGGACCTGAGCAGCACAGTGCAGTGACACCTAGCTGCCCTGAGGACCACCCACACCACCTCTCTGACTCCCCCACAGGCTGGGGCAGAGGACTTCCTCCTGCTCTAGGGCTGTCTCAGCACCATGCAGAAGGACAAAGGAGCCACCTGTTCATTGTCCTTCTGAAGTAGCACCACCAATTTCACAGAGGTGACACAGCAGCTGCCTGTTCCTGCATCCAGCTCAGAGCCAGGTGCCATCAGAGGCACGGGGCCTGGCTGTGGCTGCTGCACGCATCTTGATATTTCTCTCACCTCCCTTTCCATCTAGGATTCTGGTTCACTCCATCAATTTTATATCTAACCCCTGGTCAAGTAGAAGCACACGGGGCTCTGATCCTGGTCTGGATGGACACCACCTGAGTCCGTCTCTCAGGAGCCTCATTGTGACTGTGAGACTGGAAAGAAAGAGAAACTTGGTAAGAAGCATCTGCCTTCCAGAAACATGGAGCAGGGAAGGGATGTGTCCCAGGAAAGCAGTCCAGTCTCTGATGTCTCCACAGGTGTGGACCCAGGTCTCATCTCCAGGCAGCTGGAAGCCAGGCCATCAGCTCACCTCTGACTTGCACACAGTCCTGTGGACGGCCAGGCCTGCTCCAGATGTCCTCTGGACTGGGATTGCAGGCACAGAGGCCCCAGCACTGTGCACCTCACCATGACTGGACAGAGGACTCTGAGCAGGTGGGCCTGGCGGGCAGCAGTGTGGACATTCATCTTCTCTCTTAAACAGCTGGAATCCACACCTGGTCAGAGTTCCCATGTTCTCTCTTTTAAATGCAAGAATAAAGTTAAAATTCTCCCTTTTTAACATCTTTGACTCGTACAGTTCCCGGTCCTTGACTAAGTCACCAGGCTGGTCAGTGGATCTCCAGACTGACTCCTCCTGCCTGGCTGAACTTCTCCTCCTACTGGGCCTCACCCATCTCCATCCCCCACCTCTCCCCTCCCTGACCAGCTGCACCTGCCATTCTGCTCTCTGAGTCTCAGGTTCAACTTCTTAGATTCTAGAAAGGAGCCATCCTAATGCATCTATCCAAACTAATGAGCATGTTAAATGCAAGTCTAGATCATTCCGTGGTGTGTGCACATACGCGATCACATTGCTCACAACTGTGACTTGTTAATGTTTAAAGACTATGATCAAAGCATAGACTAAAGACAGGAAACTGCGTAAACTGCAGCTTAGCAATCTCACCTCCTGGGATTCTGACTTGGTCTCCTCCACTCTTCTCTTCTTACATTGGAGCCACTTTGTTCCTGAATTCAGGGTGTGTGACTTTGGCACTCAACACTCATGTGGGATAAATATGTCAAACCCTCACACTCCTGGCTCTTGACTTGCATAGGCAAGCTTTGGTTTGTGGATATAATGGAGAGGGACATCCTTCTCTGTGTCCCTTGAACTTCTGGTTCTTGGGGAGTAATTAACCCCCACACACCTGCACTTAGGGCTTGTGCTATAGCAAGGACAGACTGCCAGGCACACCTGAATATGCAAATACCTTGAGCCAGGACTCCTCTTGCTGTGATGTGCTCCTCAGGCAAGTGATGTTCTGAGAACTAGTAGGTAAAGTTGCAAGGGCAGCTCATGGCAAAGGGCATCCCTTGGGGGGTTGAGAGAAGATAGATGGAACTTTGGGGGATGGGCAAAGCCCAACTGCCAACAGCAGGACTCAACTGTGATGTTGAAGCCCAGCAGAGAGGTGGCTGGTTCTGCAGCCTTGGACACGTGGCCATCAGCTCCTCATCCACTTTTCCATTGAACAAGGACTCCTGGATCTCATCAGGGTTGAAACCCACAAGTAACATGAGTATAGTGAGTTTGTGGCCCTGGGGTGAGGAGTGGATCATGATTAGATCCCAAGGACTCTTCTTCCCTTGTTCAGCCCTGATGCCCACAGGGGATAGGGCAGGGAGTGAAGGAGTTCCAATGACCCTCTTTTTTTCCATAGAAAGGTGGAAGAAAGTCCTGCACCTTCTACAGAGGATCAGCTCCTAAAACAGCACCTCTGCCTCCATTGGGATATCCCATGGAGAGAAACTTGAAGGTGACTCCCAGGATCCCTACAGCTTCAGTGGATCAGCGTGCCCTTTAACCCAACAAAGACATGAGCACGTGGTAAGGGAGTCCTGTACAATGTCCTGAGTTCTGGTCCAGCCAAGACCTGCTGTGCAATCCACAGTCACCGAGTTCTCTCTTTCCTGCAGCATCCAGCAGGATACCTCCACTCTCAGCCTCCTGTGAGCCACGCCCACCTGGGGCAGCAGCAGGCAGCAGAGGTGACCCCAGGTC